TGTTGTTACTCAGGAGTAGCATCAATGCTTTGAAGTGGTCTTCTGAGGATGATTAGACTAATCTTCTCTCTAATAATTTTTAAGCGGTTCTTTGGGAGAACATTCTGGTTGAGTTCCTGAGTGTGCCATCTTCTATTCTCTCACTTTTTTTTTGTTGCTTTCCCTACTTTTTCCCCTTGAAATTATTGTGGATAAGTTTTGAATTATGATTTTATGTTGTAATTTGGGAGGGGCTTTGCTGAATTGTACTGGGAATATTTAATTTTTCATGTATTGGAAGTTTTTAGAATTGGCAAAATATAAACATAAGAAAATATTGTGGTGCGTGTTTTTAATCTTGGTTTGGAGATCTATGAGCTGCTCAAAGTTGGCTATGATAGAAGTAGTGTATAAGCCTAGTATAATAAAAATTAAAACATGTTTACATTTATTGAGCCATATTTGGGGCTACAAAATATAGCACTTTATAGGTAACCGTAGTTTTTTTTATTAGTTTGCATTAGTTTGTAGCTCACTTATAACTACCATCTTATTCTTAATATTAAGGTCAGTCTAGGGCTATCTATCAGTAAATGGCAAACATTGGATAAATATAATTTCTGCCTCCTTCAGATTGTGGATTGATCTCATATTTAGAAATAGATTGGATAACTGCAGTAAGCTCTGAGTTCTGAGAACTATCTAGCTTCATGTTTAATGGAACAGTAATAAGTTCAGAGTAGAAGGCGAGTGCCAAAGCACTGGTAATGAAGAGGTGGCATGAAGGAGGACCATCCAGAAGCACTTGTGGAAGAGGTTTAGTGCATTAGTGGGAAATGGCCAAAATGAAGATATGCATTAGTGCAAGAAGTACATTAATAGAAGCTGGTATAGGCAATCCCAGAAATGCTATGCGATAAAAGTGAAAACAGTTGGCAGCTTCCTGGAGGTAAGTGAAATAATACAGCAAAGGGTCACCTGAAGAACCAAAGGAATAACCTGGTCCATTAACACAAATGGGACAAACCAGAGTATGTGAAGGGATAATTATAGACCATTTCTCCCAGAAATATTGAAGATGTGCAACTCATAAAATCAGAAATTGTTGAAAATATAAAGGAGCAAGTAAAGAAGAAAAATATTGATAGGAATGGCATAATTGATTTGGTGATAGCCTGGTTATAAATATCAGGTAAAATAGTAATAAATTTGTAATTATTCTGTACCATTTTTAGATTGCAGGTAGGTTTCATATGATTGAACACTTTTTCTTGAACACAGGAACAAATCTCTCACATATAGAAATATTTTGTAACAAAATGAAGTTTAGGATTTTTTCATACAATCCCAAAGATATGTTACTATCAAGCCTCCCACTTCATTCGCTTGTGAAAATTAGAGCAGAATGTTATGGCTTGCGAGTTAAAAAAAATAGGCATACCATAATTTATCCTTTCACATCAGTCTTCAGATGTCTGAGAAAGCACTACTATTCAGCAAAACCACCAATCATTAGAGTATTATTACTATTGATTATTGTGTCGGTTTTACTATGAATAGAAACTGAGAGAAGAAAAACCATTGTCTCAAGTTAAGACAATGTTTAAATAAGCCATATAAATGCCAATATTCATATTTATGGAATGATTCTTAACCTTTTATATTAGTCTTTGTTTACTTCACTATTTTAGTATTCTTCTCAAATGATTATAAGCTAGAACTAAAGTCCATAAGTATATGTGCACTTGTTTGTTTAATAATTTTAGGTTTTCTATCAACAGTTCAATATTTTGTAAAATTTCAGAAGTTTGTCACACTCTTGTGCTTTCATTTCCTCTCTAGTACAACATCAGGAACTTAGATTGCTACTAGTTGCAATCTAGTTGCTACTAGGACTGTTGGTCAGAAAGAATTTAGCTTTTCATCTTGTAAGTTATTGGGTATCTAAAGCTACTGTTTAGGTCTTCACTACCCTTTTACAGTTTGGTATTTTTTTAAAAGAGTATTCTTGCTGGTATTTTGGGTTGATTCTTTGATTTGCTCTAAATTTTGTTACTTTTTCTGACTTTTGTTGTGACCACCCAGTCCTATGAAACTAATATTAATTTATAAGCAAAGACAATTGGTTTCAGCACTAATGCCTTTGTCCAGGCACTGTTCTGGGCCTAATTATTTGCTGCTTTTAGTTCAAAGTTTCTTTCCTTCTTTTTTAAAAAGCTCTTCTTATTCCTTAAATATGAATGCCCATTTGTCCTAAAGTATCATGGGTAAATCAGGCTGAGAAACAGAAATGAAAGTGTACCAATCCACAACAAGCCATTTAAAGCAAAGAAGCAAAGAACAGAGTAGAATGAGAGATAGTGGGCATATCTGCAGATTATTTGAAAATGCCCAGTGGTTTCTTAAACTACTCTATAATCTAATCAGATTATCTTTTGACAATATTCAAGAATGTTTGTGTGTGTGTGTGTGTGTGTGTGTGTGCGTGCGAGCGAGCGAGCGAGCGAGAGAGAGAGAGAGAGAGAGAGAGAGCATGTCCTGCATATTTATTGTCCTTGGTCTTCAAAATACTTCACTTCTAACATGAGCTCACAATATTTAGTTTTACAAGGCTCTGTGGTGCCTGCTCTGAATGTGGTTTTGCTTAGACAGCTTCTTCAAGGAGTCATTCATGGGTTTTATCTACTGTAGTTAAACATTTAGCACAAAATTTTCCTAATCATTATGGTTGCTGCATCCTTGGTAGCAGTCTGTCAGGCAGTGCAACTCATTATGGATTCTGGAAGCAAATCCAAACCAGTTTTTAAGAATTTTTAAAATACGGGCCTCAAAGGTACTCACATAATAAGCTTGAGTATACATCCCGAAGAAAAAAAGCACAATGTAGCTGAAGATAATGATCAGTGGTTTAATTTCAGAACAAAATAGGCCAGATTCTTATTTCAGAAGGCATGTCTTGATGGGATTGCTTTCGGTAATGTTAGCTGGCCGCTGTTACCCAGGTGACAGTGTGATGACTCATGACATTACAACAAAGGTAATAACACTGCGAATTGCACAAAGCTCTGGGAGACTGAGGCTATCTTAACTGACGATACTTGCAACATGGTTAATAGCTCGATCATCACATTTTGTGGTCCAGGATATTGGAGACCCTACTCTAAATGACCACTGGGAGTACTTGTGTGGAAAAAGTTACTCTTTAAATAATTAATTGAAATGCTGGAAAAATTATCTTCATATGTTCCTTTTGTAGGTCTCAGGATATGAGTCTAATACCTAACCTTTCACTATATTGGTGCTACTCAGTTTAAATTGTGAGTTGACTGCTGTAAGTACAGCGCAGGGCCACAAAAAGGGATGATTGAAAAGAAGGGAATTGTTTCAAGTGATCCATTTCTGTTTTCAGAGAAACTAGATATTATAAATTAATATACTTTTATATGTTATAAGAATCAATAATGTTTATATGTCAGACCTGCAACTCTGACTGGAACTGTTACTGAAAAATGATTGATATCCCCAGCTCGGAAGTCTATGCAGTCCTAAGATGGCAGCTAGAAGTTTTAATGCTTTAATTGTTAAATGTTCTCACAACATCATTTCATCTTCCATACTGAATATTGTCACTCACCCACTCAAGGGGAAGGCACTGCTATAGTTTAAATATAAGAGTGTCACAGTAGGTGATGTCACAGCAAGCATGTGTTCGTCAAGTTTCCAATTTGTCAATTCAACTTCCATTCTTTTAAACATATACCTGGATTTATAGGCTTACTCCCCTTTTCCAACAGATTGACAAAAAGTGTGATCTTCCTTCATCAGAAATGTTAGTCTTTTTTTTTTAAAGCTTCCATTTTGGTGCACTGCAGTGCAGACTTTGGTTTAACTGGCTGAATTGATATTCTGAGCAGCAAGTAAGCAAGGATGACAGAGCATCCGTACAGAGAGGTATGCTGAGTCTGCTCTGTTCAAAATGCAGCCTAGTCACGAAGCACTGCTGTCACTAAGATGCTACAAAAGCTTGCAACTTGGAGCACAGTAATATTTTGCGTTTTTAAAGACACAGGCTTTCCTTTGCATTTGACTCACTCCAAACATGAAGACAGTGGTTCAAATACCTAAAAGTATCTGAAAATCAAAATGTTAGTCCATAAACATAGACTACAAGTAAACCCTACAATATATGGTCATTAAAAGAGAATGCCATTTAAAAAAAAAACTTCTTTCTTTCATCCTAAGTTTTTGACAAAGGCTAATTCTAGATATTTAAAAACCTGCAATATACCACAGCAGGAAATAAAAGAAAACCATTAATTAATAGGCAAAAAGGCGTCCCTTATTGTTTTAGGTTTAAAGCTAAAGCACTTCATATGAAATCTTAAAAGACGATGTTTTACTTGGCTGCACAGAAGCATATGATTAGCTTCTGTGTTCTTTTATTGTAAATTATTCCTTTCCAAAAGGGGGACGGGCAAAAGTTGTGCAGCTCATGGAAGAAAAGAAAATCACACTGAAGACAAAAACCGTCATAAATTTGCCCCAGAGTGTGAGAACATGTTGCAATACATGCATTAACGTGCGTGAGTGAGTACGGGGGCGCGCGCACACACGTATGTGCATATCAAAAAGGCACTGCGCTCTTTCTATTTTGATAAACATGAGCGGATTCGGTGTCTTGAGAAAAACGCTTTACAACTAAATTGCAGAAATATACTGCTGAATTTGCTTGCCTTCTCTCTCCACCCCCCCCAATAAAATTTACACGAAAGACTTAAGAGTCCGCAATCACTTCTTGCAGAGATGCAGTCCTGAATTGCTTTCCCCCCTTCCCTCCGTTGCATCAATCCATCCCACGCTCTTTCTTCCCTCTCCCTCCCCTCCCGAACTTGTCGGTCCTTGTCCTTGAAAGGTTTCTCCCATAAGTGGCATATTCCTGGTAGTTTGCCATCTTCCGTTTTTGTCATTATCTCAAGGGAAGTATTAAAACAACAAACAACAATATGGAGGCTGGGTCCATTCTCTTTACAATAGAAAGCCTTCCTTTGGGTGCCACATTTGCTCCTTGCCCCCCACCACCCCTCCTCCTCTGGCAGGCTGCAACGCCGATTCCCGGAGCCTGCTCTCTCCTTCAGCAAGATGCTCGGTCGGAAATATCGCGCTTCCCCCCCCACCTGCTCGGTTTGGATGGTACAGTCTGTAGTGGGATTCCAGTAATGAAGCTCAGTTGATCAGTCTCTTACAGATGCTGAACGGTGATTGCTCCGCTGTGTAATTTTGGATTTGTGATATCTTAGACAAGTAAGTAGCTACATCCGAAGCGTTAGCATTATTATTGTGATTATTATTACCATCATTTCTCCTACTATTTTGAGACTGTTTATTGGGCAATTTGCATTCGAAGGCAAAAGCAGACGGAAAAATGGTGTGGACATTTGAAGGACTGAGTGATGCGCTAGATTTAGTTCCTGTCCTTGTGTCTGTGGGAAGGTAATGCAACTTCTGTATGAAATACAGCTGATATTAGTAAAAAGCCAACCACACACCATAAAGCTTTACTATTTCTGTTAGGAGTACACCAAGGATATATACCTGTTTTGACTGATAACCTTTAAAAGTCAAAGCAGACTTTGTAGAAATCAGTTCTTTAAAAAAAATCAAAATTAGTGAAATATTAACAATATTAATACATTAAAATTAGGGCATAAAATTTGTAAAGAGAGCTTTTAAATATTTCATATTATTGTATATTGCATACAATCATTATACATGTTAGTAGGATATATGCCTGGAATAAATTGATTATGCATTTGCTATAGTTTTAAGTTAGGGATTTAATAATTTATACATTTACTGAGTTAAAATATGCTGCTGCATATAAAGGCAGAAGAGTTTGAGGGTTTTGGGGTTTTTTTTTGTAAGCGGCAGATGCTATTTCATCTACAAAGGGAAAACTATCTATGATAGTTTATATAGTTCAGAATATTCTAAATAAACTGAAAGTTCTCACCAAAGTGTTCATGACTTGTTCATGAAGAAACTTTATCTCTTTCATATACAAAAAAATGTGTTTAAAAGGATCACAAGAGCAAGAATTTTTTTTCTAGCTATCTGATCTCTGGTTCAAGAAGTTGTACATCATATGTCTGTTTTGTACCTAGTCAGCAAGTCAGTCAGTTCCTTTTCTTAAGGTATGGATTTACTGACTTAGTTTGTTCTATGCAACTTAAGCCAGTAACTTTGCACCACACATTTTGTCTTTGACTTAAAAGGTGATTTACTTAGAGCTCCTGGAATCACCAGCTAGCGGTTCATGTCACCTTCAAGAAAATATAAAAGAATAAAAAATAAAGGTATCCCACTGTTTTGTAATAGCACTGAAGAGATGGTCACAGTATACATTTAAAGGCTTAAGGCAGCAGCTTTTATTAATTTGACTTTTGATTATTTGCCTTCTTGTTATTAAAAGCTAAAGTCAGTATTAAAATGTTAGGGCACTAAAAGATAAAATGGATATTGTGTCTTTTATTATAGAAAGAGTTGACATACTATTGGTAAAAAAAGGATTGTGCGTAATGGCTCATTCAATTTTTGTCAAAAAGAATACATACATACATACATACATACATACATACACACACACACACACACACACACACACACACACATATATATATATATATATATATATATATATATATATATATATATATATAGAATAAGCATATATTTAATATAAGAGGTTCCTGGGACCTGTATTGCATTTGAAAAAAGTGATCCATATCCTGGATTTTTAGCACTCTCACACTTGCAACTAAGTGCTAGACCTGGATACCCAGCTGGTTTTTGCCCTTAAGTGATGATAAAACACCCAGGATTTGCAAATAGCTGAAATACTGAGAATTCTTTAAGGAGGAAAAACATAGTAATGCAGCATCATTGCATTTTCTCAGTGTCTATATTCTTAAGTAGAATTGATTTTGACCCAGCACATCATAGTTAAATATGCTTACAGAGATGGTTATTCACTCAATAGAAGATGGTTGACATCTTTAAATTATGTACTGTACCTATAAAAAGGAGCCTTGAATGTACATTGGTGCAGTATTTGAGGGCAATTTTATTCTCTCTACTTACAAGGATAACATAGGAGAAAATACTGGGATGTAGCATACGGTGCTCTAGAGTTCTCTCAAGAAAATACCTTTAGAAGTGTATTACTCTTAGATTTAACTTGTTCCCAGAAAACATTGAGAAATTTAATTTCCAACTCACATGCACTTGCATGACATTTTTGAATATCTTATGCTGTGACATTTTATAGTGATCGATGTTAGAATCTATTTCAGCTAAACATTACTATTTTCATATGTTTTGTCTGAAAAGCTGAGAAAACATTTTGTCTCTTTTTCATTTGATTTTTCTTTATCTTTCTAAGCTCTTTTATCTAGGCAGGAATATAAAGATTTCAGAGTCTGATAGGACATTATTGGAGATATGACCTTGGAGGTACATTTCAACCTTGATATAAGGCTCATTATACTGCAGTGTAACCTGAGGGTTTGATATTTATGAATATTGGGAAATTGTACAGCAGTAGAAATAATTGCATATGAATGCCTTTGCCTCATCTTTGCATATAGTGAGTAGCTCAGGAATGAAGTATTAACTAATTAATCCTAGAGTGGTACCTTCTAGTCCAAGTTGCATAACCTATGCTTTGATGTTAAACTGGAAAGTAATGCCTTCTCAAGCAGTGAACCTGTTTCAGGTATAGACAGCTACGTGAATTATTGTGGCATCTTTGCTAAGACACTGAAAATATTTTGTCTGCCTGAAAATGACTAGTTATCACACTCTTTTTTGAAAAAAAGTCTTTGTTTTTGGAGGGAGAGCTAAATCCCAGGAGAAACTTTGGAAAACTATGGCTGCAATCCCACACTTTTAAATCTGAGTGTGTATCACATTATTCAACAGAACTTCCTTCTGAGCAAATATACGTAACATTTGGGCTATTTGACTGCAAAACCAGCTATATTTATGTAGTAGTACATCCCCAAGGAAATCAAGAGGAGTTCTTCTGAGCAAAGATACATTAGATTGAACTGCATTCTAGATTGTCTGAAAAATTAGGTGTAACATTGCTAGACTGAATGCAGCATCTTTTGAAATGGCATTAAAACATGTCATTCTTTAGGACATAGGGTGGCAATTAAGTTGCTGACAAGTTACTTGCTAAATCTGAAAGGTTACTAACCTCAAGTGGACTTACTTTTAGGGTCTGTGTTTGTGTGCATGTGTACACACACATACATACACATACACACAGTCACATACATAGATAGATTGCCAGGTGCTTTTTGAGATTGGTGTCAACTGAGTTTCAGAAACAAGTTTCAGTAGGTTAAAAGTGGAGGTTTGGTTTCCTGGATGCATTAACAGCAGATTGATGAGGGATACAGCTTATATGCTGGGTGAACATTTCCATTGGTGTAACATGCTATCTATGAATGTGTGTGAGAGAGGGAAAAAAAAATTCAATTTGGTCCCAGTTCTAATGTAAAAGCACTAGATGGCCTTAGCAAGCTACACTCTATCTCTCCTGACTTTTTACCTGGAAATTATATTGTATCTTATTTATTTCCCTGTAGTATGTATTGAAATAATTTCTAATATGTTTTGAACAGGTGAAATATCTGAACTGTTATTGTAAAGATTGACAGTTGTGTGATAAGACCTCTCATTGTATTATTAGTCATAATTTGATAAAATATAGTACGATACTTAATGTTACTCACTGCATTGAAAAAGTGATAGGATGATTAACCCTATCACATTTGCTATTGTTCCAGAACAAAACAAAACAAAACAGAAAAAAACTAAAAAGATTGATGAAATATTGCTTTTTTTAATTGGACATTTAAAAAATTAATCATATTTATAACATTAAAATAATATTCATTATGACTAAAGTAAGCAAAATTAATAGTGGGTTAACTTAGAAGAATTCAAATAAATGGGCTTCAGAATATGGACAATATTTTTAAAAATATTATTTTTATGCTCAGTTTAATCATTCTGCATTTTTATAGTTTAACTGATCTCACAATCTTAATCTAACAATCATTCCATGTAGTAATTATTAAATTAAATTTCTCCACACTACTTGCCTTTATGTCTGTATGGCTTCAACAAAGATATATATCACCTGCATTTCTGAAAACTAGGGGTTTTAGTTTTACTTCAAATCAAGATCAAATCTGGTTACGCATTGTGGTTTACGGGAACCAGGATGTTTGCTGAAGTCAGGTGCATGAGGAAAAGGAGACAGAAGGACAAGCCTTCAGGTACATAAGTCTGTCATATCAAGATTGTGACAATTGAATCAACTTGGTGAGTCTTGAAGTCATTATTGTTGACTAGACTTGTGTATGATTGTGTTGTTAATGAATGTCATGGCAGAAAGATAGACATTATTTATGCTGCAGAAAAATAAGATCTGAAAGTTGGCAGTTACTGCTTGTAAGATATCAGAGCTATATATGAAAGAGTTTTTATATATCTGCAAATCATTCAATGTTATATCAGGATGCTGGTTATATTTATCTGAAGTTTAAGAATATCTCAATCTTTCCCATCCCCTCAAAAAATGTAATAAAAAAACCCAGCTATTTCCTTTATAAATACTTCATCTTTTCCCAGGTTTATTATTTTGTGGAAAAAATACTATGCATCACGAAAACCAACTGTAGGAAGAGATACAATCCCATTCTGAGTAGCTTTTAAACAATGGCAAGGCATTGTGATTTGCTTTGAAAGTGGTAAAATAAGTGCAGAAGATGTTGGCTTGACTTACTGGTGCAGTGAAAGGACTAGGTGCTGGGGGCAGAGATGGCAATTGTATTGGCAGCCTCAGAACAAGATAGTTTTACTGGTTTGTTGTAATGCAGTAAAATTCACAAGGACTGTGTCACCCAACTTTTTTACTCTGTATTTAAGAGCTAACAAATTGTCTTAGCATTTATATAACATTCAATATTACTCAGAAAACTTATTTGCAGTTTGAATTGGCATTGCATATCCTCCTGTCAATTTACTTTCTATGAAAAGTAAAAAAGATCTGTCCCAAGATTTCTCAATAGGTAATGGCTGATACAGTTTTATCTGAGCTTTTGATAAATTCTGGCCAATATCTTTCAAACTGTAATGAAAGATATGAAAAATGTATTCTCAAAAGCACTAGAAATTGTGGTTGCCTGATTTTTACTCTGTTCAGAAATGGTTAATGTACAGGTAATCTG